CCTGAAATCATTGCTACGATTAATGCTACTGCGGGCCAATATGCATTAGTCTATTTAGGGGAAATACCGTGTTATGGCTCAACTACTAGATCTCATATAAGGTTCGATTTAGTTAGTCAGCAATCAATTCATTCATCTGTGGTAGAGTCATTGTAAATATTTTTTTACTTTTAATTACATATAGTATACACATTATTTCATTAGGAATTTCTATAAATTTATTGTAAGTATAACTTGACCCATTTTTGTTCCTTTAATATCGGTCACATATTGTTTCAGATTATTTCGATATGTGGATGATGTATTCCGAAGAGCACTGGCCTAAAGCTATCGACTTAGAATCATCGATAAGCAGACTTGGGAGGGAACTGGATGCACTAGCGATGGATGCTTTACACTCCATCAACTATGATGCCGACATATGGCCGTTCCCGGAAGCCGTAGCATTACAGGATGAATGGTATGAGAAATACAGTAAAGGTAGCAGTCTTTGCTGTGAATATAATGCATGTGAGCTGGACTTGGATACATTCTGTGAGAAGATGGTTACCTTAAGTTTGAAGCGTTTCTTGAATGAGGTCTTACCATACATCACCCCGCAAATTAGGAGTAAACATGGTTTGGATAGAGAGCCACAGTCAGACGATGAAAATGATTAAGGATTACTTTTATAATATATCTATATGTGTAATTATAATATAAATAAAACAATATACATAGTTTTAATGTTTTTTTTATTTAAAAAAAAAAGGTTGTTACATGTTATTATGTATTCAGTAAATACTTCTACTACTTATTAGGCCACACCCATTAAAAGGTTAGGTTATTATGTATAAAGTAAATAACGCTACTACCTATTAGGCCACCCCCATTACACCCGTATGCAACGCAAACATGTATATGTTACGGGCAGTGTTGTAAATTGGGCGTAACATATATATTTTATAAATCGAATGCTAGACCATGGCTAATATTAAAATAATAATTTTTCTATGATGGAATTATAGTTGGCGGTGATCTATTAAATTCTAAAATTTGACTACTAATTAGGCATTAATGTTTTTTTGTTAAAAAGATTATATTATATTTTTTAGAGTGATTGAAAGTATGTATAGTAATATATTACATTATTTCTAAAATGTATTTATTTTTTTATCAATTTCCACTCATTGATAAATAGCCCATATATTTATTATATATTTTATAAAAATTGTAAAATAAAAAAATAAAAAAAATGGCCCCACAGCGGAGGAACGAACCCGCTGATTTCGTCGTGAGTACAATGCTAGCTTTTCGCTTAGCCCCGCACCCACGAAGGAGGCCACTTAATGTTTATCGAAAGCTGGTTATAAAGAACCCCGAACCATTGTCCGATTGTCCGATTATCACCATCCCTACGCCAGCCTGTAAGCGGTGTCCGAACCATTTGAATCGGTATTGCCCTACCTGTGGGTACATGGTTCTCGCTCGGCGGGTAGCTCGGAGGCAAGCATATTTAGTGTTGTTTTTCGATTTTAGTCAAAAAGGCGTGACGATTTTCAGTTTAATATAAAGTTCCGCGAAGAAGTTCAACAGTATGAAACTTTATACGATTATAAACGATCGGATTATTGCAACAGAAGTGGACAAAATAGCAAAAAAATTCAATGTAAATGGTAAGTACTTTTTTATTAACTCTTATTAACTGAATGATTAAAAAGAGGATAAAATTTCCTGGCCGTATTAGAATTTATAATAAAATTTCCTTGCTTTTCTCAACCAAAGTTGAGTATCCATCGTCTGGAGCAGTCAGTTAAAATAAAATAACATTAAGGACATAACAAACAGTTTAAAATTTTCGTGATTGAAAACCACGTCTTTTTGTGTGAATTGCATCTAACAATAATGTACGTCTGTATAATTATATTATATAATTACATTTATTAATATAAAAGATGGAATTTAATTTAGAAAATATACCAGATGCACGGCTTATTGAGTTTTTTATAATTAATAAAATAACGAGAAATAATATTGCACCTAAATAGATATTTTGTCCACGACTACTTAATAATAAATCAATATTCTACCTCCTAACTAAAAGCATATGGTACTCATATATCACGGAGTGAATTATGATAATTCACGCTTTTGTAATTCTGGCAAATTCCGGTAAATAACTAAAGATGGGCGATACTTTTCATAACGATATTTTCTAGATCGAAAAATCGAAAAAGTGAAAAATCGAAAAATCAAAAAATCAAAAAATCGAAAAATCCAAAAATTGAAAAAAAAAATCGAAAAAATCGAAAAATCGAAAAAAAAATCGAAAAATAAAAAAAAAATCGAAAAAAAATAGAAAAAAAATAGAAAAAAAATTGAAAAAAATCGAAAAAAATCGAAAAAATCGAAAAATCGAAAAAAATCGAAAAATCTAAAAAAAAAAAACGAAAAATCAAAAAAAAAAAAAAATCGAAAAAAAAAATGAAAAATCGAAAAAAAAATCGAAAAAAAAAAATGAAAAATCGAAAAAAAAATCGAAAAAAAAATCGAAATAAAAATCGAAAAATCGAAAAAACAACAGTTAGTTACCTATGTTTAATAAAAACTTTCTATTCTACACTTCACTTTTATTTAATAAAGAAACCATAATGGTCGTGGACAAAGTATAGTATTAGTCTCGCAATTTATAGCCATTATTCACTCGGGTGACTTGCGTGAATAATGGCTACCATAAATTGCTCGTTTAATAATATACTATTATTGCCAGCGCTCCAGTAGTTAATATTTTATATTATATAGAAGTATTTTTGACCCCATTTTTGAGCGCCTGACATTTTATATTTCTGAATTTTAAACATTCACCTATTATTTTCTATTATTGTATAACTGTTTGTATTATAAATTTGGTCTATACATCCAGTATAAAATAAATTATGTTGCACTCGGTTTTCTTATATCTTATATCTATATGTGCAATTAAAATATAAATAATACAATATACATAGTTTAAATGTTTTTTATTTAAAAAAGGTTACATCTTTTTATTTTTGTTAAAAGTGAACACAGGCATAGGTTTGGATACAGTAAATTAGAGTATATGAATTACAATGGCATATATTCGGTGTGTACAGTGCCATCTAGTCATTATAACTTATAAGAGCTTCATGAATAATAAGCGCATACGCTTTAGTGTTGGCGGGAAATTGCATTTTACGTGTTTCGAATTCAACCTTGACATCCACAGTTGAAGATTTGATTGGTTTTGGATACATACTGCAATCAATTACGAATAGGGGGTTCGCTCTAAAGCCATTCAGGCCTAACATCGGTTGGGGATTTTCCTTTTTGTAGTAACTTCGCTGAAAATCTTCATAAGCATAATAAGCGGGAGTATCCAACTTTTTCCCAACATCTAAATTCCAACGCTCTAATGGGTAAACTTCAGAATTTAGATATAATCTGATATTGCTTATATCAGCAGCCGTAAACGCCGTCACATCTTCTTTCCTGTTCTCAGTAAAAGAAGTATTTTGAAATCCAATAATTACATATCTAGGTCGTTCCATGGATGTAGTGGTTTTAATCGCCCATATGTCGTGAGAAGTTTGCCTTAGAGTAGGTAATTCATAAAGATCCCATTTATGATGCGGTATTTTAATGGATTGCAAATGTTTGTCATTAATTTTTTTATACATGAGAACATCTGCATCATTTTCGGGAGTAATATGTTTGACTATCCAATCCATTTTAGTGATAGTTATGTCCGCATCGACTTCTCCTATATAGCAATTTTCGAATGCTCGAGCAATTATTACAGTCATCTCATGCTTAACACCTATTATCCCTTTTTTGTAAGATTCAGCAAAACCAAATAGATGTTTTAATAAGATTCTACCTGTAAATGTATTACTCGTTGAATCAACCAAAACTTGATTCTCTTCGCTGAGGCCCCAACCAGATGTTTCTAATAATTTCGCATGTTTTTCACCATATGACACCATATTTTTTATTGCTGTCGTTATAATAGGTTTTCGACATTCAGCAATCTTTTGTCCACCCATTTCATATCTACTTTCTTCAAATAGGCCAGGAAGAGCATTGTTGGCCAAATAGCACTTTTTATTAGCCTCTTTTGGCTTAAATGTTCCAACTATATTGATGTAACTATCGCAAATTAAGAGATTCAGGTCCATATTATTGATCGTAAAGGTGATTGTATCAGAATGTTTGTAATTTGGCGATCCCGTAGGCGGGTGGATATATTCATCGCATCTTTTGATTGAGTTATCGACGATCGGCTTTTCAAATACGTCCAACATCTCATTTCTTACATAAACAGCCATTATTTAATATCTTATATGGAATCCAATAGATTGAAGAAATTTATAATCTTTATTAGACAACAGAAGTCTTCTTCGCTTTACAGTTACTCGGCGAATGTTCATGTTTTTCCCTTCGATTCTATTTATATGATTATTTAAATGGGCGCTAGTTGAATATCGTGGTTTGAAGCAGAAT